GTGCGACGACAGAGGCCACTTCAGCTGTGGTCAGCCGAGCTTGTGGGATGTCAGCTTCTGTGTCCACTGCTGGTCCCAGGCTTCAGTCTGCCCTGGAGGTGGGACCTCACTGGCAGGGAACCCCACCCTCAGCCACTCCTCTCCTCTCAGGTGTCCCCAGGTGTCATTGCCAACCCCTTTGCAGCAGGCATCAGCCACCGGAACAGCCTGGAGAGCATCTCATCCATCGACCGGGAGCTGAGCCCTGAGGGCCCAAGCAAGGTCAGAACACCTGTGGCTGGCAGCCAGGGCCGGGGACCTGAACTGCTGATGCCTGACTTGTCTGCTCCCCTCACAGGAGAAGGAACTGCCCAGTCAGACCCCGCACTGGGGACCTGAGGCTGTGGAGGCCACGGTGAGTCCCCTGGGGCCTGGCTCTGTGCTCTGGGCTGCATCCTCCCCCAAAGCAGTGCAGTCCATGCCCAGGCACACAGCCCAGCTAGCAGTGTCACTCTGTTCCCCAGGGCCAGAGCCTGGAGCCCCTGAAGCTGGACTACCGTGTCCTGGCTGCTCTGCCCAGCACTGCCAGTGTGCAGAGGGTCAGTGTCCCACGTGTGCTGAGTTGCACCCTCCTGTCGCCTTGTCCATCTGCCCACCAGCCTGTCGGCTCCCTCTTCACCTGGCCAGCCACTGCCGTGGGCTGAGTGCCGAGGCCACTGTGGAGGAGCCTCTGTGGGGTGGGGCATGGGCTGGGGTTGGAGGAGCCTAGCCGCGTCTTGCCCTTAGTCATGCGTGGAGAGGGGTCCTTTGAAAGCCCCCGACCTCTTCCTTGCCTCATCCTTACCAGTCAGCTGGGTATGGGAAACTGAGTCCAGCCAGTGGCAGGCAGAAGGGCTCCTGGGGTAGAGGCAGCTGGAAGTCACCAGAGTCTCTCCAGGCTCCTGGTGGGGGAGGGCGGGCATGAGCAGCCCTGGAATGGGTGGGCTGGAGCAGCTGCAGAGTGTCCTGGGAGGCCAGGGTGAATGGAGAAGGGCTTAGCATTAACTGGGTGTGGCCTCCAGGGCACTGGGTCTGGAGACAGACAGAAAGGACACTCAGCCCCCGTTCCTCCCCAGGAGGTATAAATAACACTGGTAGAGGGTGAGCCCAGTCAGCTGCTGCTGGGAGACCCCACAGGAGTGTGAGTGCTTCAGGGGCGGGTCAGGGAGGACGCTGCTGGAGCAGTGGGGGAGGCGGTGAGTGGCCTGGTGGGCCTGGGGACTGAAGGAGCCTGCTTGGGCTTTGGGTGTGGACCCTCCTGCTGCACAAAACCTGGAGAGGGAAGCAGGGGTGGGGCCTAGCACCCTCTCATTAGGAGGGGGCCCAGTGGCTGGTGGACCGTGGGAGGACTCCCCGGCTCTCACTGCTGGGGTGTCCTGGGTTTGGGGGCCCCTCTGCACAGCTCTGGGCTGCAGCTGCTACTGTGAACTCACACTCAGCTAGCTGCTCAGCCCAGGCCCAATCTCCTAACTTCTTTTTAAAAAATATTTTGATTTTTTAGTGTACACAATACCTTTGTTTTTTATTTATTTTTTTGTGGTGCTGAGGATCGAACCTAGGACCTCGCACATGCTAGGCGAATGCTCTACTGCTGAGCTGCAACCCCAGCCCCAAACTCCTGCTTTCTGGCTGGGGCACACCCTTTGTGGTGGCCAAGCCTGTACCGATATATCCCTGGGGGTGTGGTTGGTCAGAGAATTGAGTAGCAGCTTCTGTGCTGCCAGCATGGGTGCTAGGGACCCCCAAATCCTTTTACTTGGGGGACACAGTTCTGCCTAGCCCTCCCCCACCCACCAGCTGGTTCCTGCAGGTACCATCTGGAACAACTGGAGGGAAGATGGCGGAGGCCCCCTGCTCCCCTGGAGGCCAGCAGGTGAGCATCTCTGCTGCCCCTGGAGTGCTGTAGATGGGTGCTGTGTGGAGCTGGCCTCCACAAGGGGAGTGCTTGTGCTCCTGGAGGGGATCCAGCCCTGGTGCTGAACGTGGGCCAGCACCAAGGACCCACCAGTATACTACCCCTTGCCTGGGTCCCTCATGCCTCCCCCCCCATCCTGCTGCGAGAGGAGGGCCAGGCCTCAGGCACCCCTCGCCCTGCCCTGCAGGATGGGGTGGGCACTGGGTTCACTTGGAACCCAGCTGCCAGCCCAGTCCCCGAAGGCTGAGGCATTCAGGTGCCTGTCCCAGCCCCTGCGGTCCAGCTTGGCTCCCTCCCTCTCTCCCTCCTTTCTTGGACCTCTGATCCTGTACTTCTCTGTCCCCTTCCCTGCCCTTTGCAGACAAAACCCGGGGTGATCCAGCCTTTGGCTCAGGCCTGGCCAAGGGGCTCCCCGGCCCCCAGGGGCAGAGGTGATCCCCGCTCCGTGAGTGTCCTGTCCCACAGGGGGTAGGGGTGGCAGTGTCCTTCCCCTCTACGGGACAGGGCAGGGGGGGATCAGTGGCAGTCCGTGGAGACAGCTGGTGGCTGGTTGGGCGGTGGCTGCAGTGGACAGCTGCCCCCCACCCCGCCTCACGGGCACTCCGCCCCCAGACGCCCTCCCCACCCTCCCCGGAGGAGCTGCCCGCCAACGTGAAGCAGGCCTACAGGGCCTTTGCCGCAGTGCCCGCCGCACACCCTCCCGAGGACTGCGCTGCCCAGGTAGGCGGGCGCCCTGAGTGCGGGTGGGTGCCCGCCGAGGAACTCTGGCCGAGTGTGAGGTCCACCTCCCCAGCCCCCCGCAGCCGCCCCGGAGCAGCTCTCCTTCCGCGAGCGGCAGAAGTACTTTGAATCGGAGGTGCGGGTGCCCCAGGCGGAGGGGCCCCCCAAGCGCGTGTCCCTGGTGGGTGCCGACGACCTGCGGAAGATGCAGGAGGAGGAAGGTGAGGAGGGCGGAGGTGTGTGTGTGTGTGTGTGT